CTCCCTGTTGAAAGCCCTAAGGGATAGACTTCTAGCAAGTTCTGTGGGTGTGCCACCACAGCGACTTCCCTAGATTCAACAAGCCAAAGCTATGCCTCTCCAAGGTCTAGATTTCAGCCCCGGGGTGATTATTATGTTATTCTCCTATTGTATCTGGTATTCCTATATTCTGAAGAGTTCTCTTTAAGTAATCCCTCATTATCCTATCCATATTAAACAATTCTTTATATCAAACCTTCCCTGTTCAAAGTACTGTGAAGTTTCCCTCTCCCGATTGGACCGAAATAAATACTGAATTGGCCTAGAGATGGACCCTGCAGAGTGACAACTGCAAACCCACAAAAACAGGATTTGGGGATTGGTTTGTTCATGGCTTTGGGCTTGAGGGCAGTGCTCCTTGCAAATGAGAAAAAAAAAGGATGCTAGTAATCCGTGGCCTGCAGGGACAATCACAATGAATCAAGTGCCAACTGAAGCAGTACTCTGGAAGCTCAGGTAGCTGCTGCACCCAGCCGGTACACCAGTAATGATGACCATCAGACTCTGGCGTTGGGTGGATTTTTCTGAGTTCATCTGAGTGCTGGTCCTGCAGTATCTGTAGAAGTAAGTCTCTCCCTGCTTAAAAATCCTGTGATAACTTCACCTGGGGCAGATTCCTTGCAAGGGAATGGTATTCTCCTTAAGATCCACCACAACCACTTCCAACTGCCATTAAACCCATAACTAGGGTCAAACCTCAGGATGCTCCAGGCGGCCAGATACACACTACAACCCAGGAAGAATAGCTTACACACCAAGCTGGGAGAGTGGATAGGCAAAACTGGGGATGCACACCTTCAAATGCTATACTAGTTAGAAGCAATGGACTAGATATGTATTTGCAACATCTTCAAATCTTCAAAACATGGTGATGAGACGTTGTAAGAAACAGTTAGATATACCATACCATACCATTTAATTTTAAATATATGCATATAAAACATTGATATACATTCAATAAGAACACATACAAACAAAAAGGATATACATTAAATGCATTATAATGGTTGCCATGAGTGGGCAGGGAGTGGGAGTAAAAAAGTGAAAATAAAATGAGAAGGGTCTTGTGTGGACTAATCACAATTAACAAAAATTGAGATGATTCAGGAGAGAAAGAAGGAACATTGGCTTGTAGTAGAGACTTTCAGTCCTTGACAAGATGCTTATCTAACATAAGGTGCTGGCTCCCTCCAATTCCAGCCCTGAAGATGGCACACATAAGGAAAACTGACAGATAATGATGAAATCTCCTACTTACGCAGCATTTACCATGTACCAGGCACTCATTTAATCTCCCCAGCCAATGCTATATTATTAACCCTATTTTCCAGATAAGAAAACAAGTACAAAGAGATTAAGTAACTTGCCTAAGGTCACACAGCTGGTAATGCTGGAGTTGGAATTCTAACACAGATAGTCCAGATAAAACTGAGGAATACCCAGACACTGGAGAGAGCAAGTCTGGGATGGTGCTGGAGATCAGGGGCTAGTGGCCTAAAATGAAAGAGGGGCAAGCACCACGGACAAGAGAGGCCAGAGGGGACTTCCCTGGTGGCGCAGTGGTTAAGAATACGCCTGCCAGCGCAGGGGACACAGGTTTGAGCCCTGGTCCAGTAAGATCCCACATGCCACGGATCAACTAAGCCCGTGTGCCACAACTACTGAGCCTGCACTCTAGAGCCTGAGAGCCGCAAGTACTGAGCCCGTATGCTGCAACTCCTGAAGCCTGCGTGCGTACAGCCCATGCTCCACAACAAGAGAAGCCACTGCAGTGAGAAGCCTGCGCACTGCAATGAAGAGTAGCCCCTGCTCACCGCAACTAGAGAAAGCCCGTGCGCAGCAAGGAAGATCCAACGCAGCCAAAAATAAATAAATAAACAAATTTATATAAAAAAGGATACACATTAATTTTAAGTACAGTAATGGACCTAGGTATATATGGTTCCTACAGAGATACTGAGGTAATTCAATGCAAGAGTAGTCTTAGCAACAAAAGATGCTAGAATAAATTTAAGTCCATATATTAAGAAGTAAATTTAAACCCCTACCTCACCATAAAAAAAAATCAATTCAAAATGAATCATAGACCTAACAGTTTAAAACTACCAGACTTTGTAGAAAAAAGGAAAAAAATCTTCATGACCTCGAATTCAACTGACCTATCACAGGAAGCAATAACCATGTTTGATTAGATTTAATTTGCTCATCAAGAAAAATAAGAAAAAAAAGGCAAGACAGACTAGGAGAAAATATTCATAACTCATGACAAAGACCTTGCATCCAGAATATACCGAGAATTTTATATTTAAAAGAACTGTTGAAATGGACAAAAGACTTGTACAGTTTTTCAAAGAACGTATAAAATTGGCTCTAAGAACATGAGAAACTACCGAATATGAAATAGAATGTGAGATATTAGATTAGATCCTGGAACAGAAAGAAGACACTAGAAGATTTGTGAAACTTCAATAAAGTCTAGTTTAGTTCATTGGTACCAATGCTAATCTTAGTTTTGACAAATACACCATGCTTATGTAAGATAATAAAGTTAGGGCAAACTGGGTGAAGGATATACATGAACTCTGTTATCTATGCAACTTTTCTGTAAATGTAAAAATCATCCCAAAATAAAGTTTTTTAAAAAGTGCTCAGCATCATTAGTCATCAGGAAAACGCAAATGAAAATCACGTGATACCACCCCACCCATCCACTAAAATGGCTGACATGGACCAGATCAACAGCAGCAAATGTTGGAAAGCAACCAGGACTTTCATAAATTGCTATGAGAGCATAAGATGGCAGTCACTTTGAGTAAAATATCTGGCAGTTTCTTAAAATTAAGCATATATCACCTACCCTATTACCCCATCAATTCCACTGCAAGGCATTTCTCCAGGAGAAATGAAAATATGTCTAAGACCTACATAAGAATATTCAGAGCAACATTATTCCTCATAGCCCAAAACTGCAAACAGCTCAGATGTCCATCAATAAAATGGATAAACTACACTGGAATTCTACCCTGCAACAAAAAGGAACAAACTACCAGTACAACTATATGGATAAGTCTCAAACATGCTGAAAGCTAAACACAGAAGATACATTGCTGTAGGATTTAACTTATACAAAGTATTAAAATATGCAAAAATATCCTACACCAATAGAAACCAGGTCAATGTTGTTTCTCTAGGGGGTGGGAACTTCCTGGAGGGCAATGTTCTGTCCTGATGTGCAGGTTACCATATAAAACTAAGTATTTTTCAAGACTAATCAAACTGAACACTTGACATCTATGCATTTCACTGTAAATATTTCAATTCAAAAAATTTAAGTGCTACTCATTATTCATTGGATATACAAATTTAAACCACAATGATACAATGTACCCAGTAGAATGGCTAAATTTTAAAACACCAGACATCGGTGGGGTCGAGTAACCAGAATTCACATTGTTAGTGCTAATAGAACTTTGGGAAAATCGTCTGGCAATTTCTTATAAAATTTTCTTACAATCCAGCAATTTCATACCTGTTTTCATCTCTAATCATGTACAGACTTGCATGAGAACATTCATTCACAGGGACTTTATTTGTAATAGCCAAGAGCTGAAAAAGCCCAGGTTTCCAGCAATAGATAAACCGTACTTTGCTCATACTCATATGCGTACACAACATGGTTGAATCTCAAAAGCACTTTGCTTAATGAAAGCCTTATAGGACCCATATTTTTATTGCATTTATATTCAAGAACAGGCAGTTCGTCTTTAGCGGACAGAGGCCAAGAGTCGTCGAGGAAGGGCCACAAGGTAACTTGCTGGGGTGACAGCAACGTTCTCCACTTTGATAGTATGTGAGCTTTTACCAAATCTCGTGGTATGCTTCTGGTTGAAATTTCAGAATTTATGAACATTGAGCTTGTTATTGTTGTGAATGCCTGTTTTCAGGTTATTGACATGTGCAACTGAACAAAAATTGATGTGATGGATTTTAAGTTTTTCTGGAACAACTGGTATAGAGCTGAGGTTATTTACAGAATGACAGTACTGAAGCTTTTTCTGCAACCCTAATGCTCAGCTAACACTGCTTTTCCATGTGATGAGTTCCTTCAACTGGCTATATAGCCCAACCACAATATCCTGTTTTACATGCTTATAAAAGTTAATACATATATCAGGACCCACAAAATGAAGGCTGCCAGCAGTGGTCTGGCCCACCTCACAAAGGTAAACCTAAGTCAGCACACATTTACAGGAAAACACCCCATCAAGGTGACCTTTAACATACACCCATCACAATCCTCCAACTTTAGCTAGCTCACCTTCCCCTAGAAAACAGGACCCCACAGCCAATGATGCCTACTCTGTAAAAGTCTTGCCCCAAATGCCCTGGGAACAGTGCTTTGCTGCTTGTGAGCCACTGCACTCCCGACCCATCGACTGTTCTCCCTTAAATAAAGGACAATTGTCACTAAATTAGTTTTATCAAGTGCAAATGAACATGAGTCAGATGTACATAGAACAGTAAAGAAACTTACCAATGAAGAAGTACACTAATCATGTGCTGGTTTAATGGCATCCCCATTAAAGAGTTGGTCTGAAGTGGGACTGCCAAATCAAATTAACCAACCTGCCTCCTTCCCAGGAGCCAGCAGGAAATATCAAAAGCACTACAGTACATCTTCTGTACTTTAGCTTCTAGTTCTTTGGTGTTATTGCTCCAATTTCAGGGTAAGGATTAAATGAAATCATCCAAATTACTGTGATACCTACCTGAAACTCCCTCTCCTAATGAAGGAAGCCTAGCCACAGGATACCCTCAGTGACTATGTTCCCTGGCAACTAACTGCAAGGGCTAACAGTGCCTGAGAACTAGGGTTTGGGGGAGGGGAACATGTGGAGATCATTCTTTAAAAGCCAAATGAATCCCTTATTATAAAAAAGAACCCAGGGCCACAAGAAAAATGCATGTTAAGTTTTATTAAGGTTCAAATACAAAACATTCCAAAAAGAGAAAAACCATTATACCTAAGTTCTATATTCAACTACCAGTTAAACAAGAAAAACATGTTATTCTGTTTCTTTTACAACCAGTATAAAGCCAGAAGAATCAAGACAGATTCTTTTTCCAACAGGAGCAGAATTAAATCTGCCGGGTCAACAAACTATTTGCCAAACAGCTGTCTGGTCATTAAGCGTTCTTCAATTTAGTATTCATGTTTACTATGATTAATCTCTATGTTCTACACTTATCTTCAAGATAACCTAAATAAAATCTCAAGAGCCAAAAGGTCCACGGAAGCATAAACCCAAGTACTTAGATTACAGAATGACTGAGGAAGACAGCTATGTAAGTGCAGTGGTTTTTTAAATTTGATCAATACCCTGATGGTCTGTGATTAGAAGAGCCCATCAAAATGAGGGTTAAATTTCTTGATTATTTTCCATGATTGCAAATGTTAAACATGATAGTACTGATATTTACTAGGCAAAAATTCAGAAGGTGAGTTGGTTTCTCCTAATCCAACAACTCAAATCTGTTTCCTTTGAGAACATTAGCTTTTACACTATTGGCTCTAGTCTCCAATGCAATAAATGACAAAGCTGTACTGTATCTTGATTTGTTTCTAAGATATGAAGTGGGGTGAGGGGTAAAGTAGGCTTACAAAATAACTTAAAAAAAATAGCAAAAGCCAAATGGCCCAATTTTGTTTCCAGTTTTTAAGAAGTGTGCTTTTGAGCATTTTATGTTTCCAGTTACTTTAGTTTCCAGATATTAGTCTTCCCTTTAGTTTTAAGACTAAATCTCACTCCTGGATAAACTAACACCAAGAAATATTTTACCTGCTGAAAATCAGACACTTTACTGGATAAAGTCACCTCTTATGCCTTTCATTTTTCTAATCCGACTTTCTGACAATCAGTGGTAATTAGGAAGTTCTAAATTGCAGTTGTCCCTATGACTTTGGCTAAAGGAAATGAAAGTCAAAGCTGTAAGATCTACATAAAGAACCATGAAAACTTCCTGACTACCTCCACTTACCAATTTCTTTAATTGCTCCCCTTTCTCCATCTGGTCAATTACTTATTTTAAGTAACTGCCACTCCCTAGTTACAAGTGCTAACCAACGTTGATGCCTTCCTTAGATCCACAGGAACCCTGGAAGGCAAAAATCTTGTCTGCACCAAACCAATTCTGATGAGTACTGCTTATGCAACTGTTGTGCCTTAAGGACAATCAGCATTCTTCTGCTTCAACAACTCTGTAAAATGAAAAGCATGTTATCACATCACAAAGTATTTACTGTTTTATACTGGAAATTACTGGCCCCCCTTACCTATTCTTTAAATACATTACTTTGTTGCTTTAACTGGCAACATGTATAACATTTGCTTTAAATTACAAGCTCAAAAAAGCAACCATAAAAACCTATAATTCCTGTAAGCATCACTTCGGTAATGAAGACAATAACTATGTCATCATTTTACTAATAAAATCGTTACTCAAACTAGGGACTCGGTGGCAGCTGCATCTGTTCACCCTTCAGCCAGTCTGTACTGTGGCCAATCAAACAATCAGGAACTGATGAAAAGGGTGTCATTCAAAAAACGCACAGGATAAAATTTGAACCCCATACAAGTTAAGTCTGCTTACACGACAAAACACTAACTGTAAAGCTCCAGCCAACAACTGCTTCTGAAAACAGTATTAGCAAAATGTATGCATTCAATAGAGCTACTAAAAGCATTGCATGACTGAGCCACTCATGGAAATATGCCTGTTTAAGATAACGTCACCCCACATTTGAACGAATAATGTGCCAGGTGTTACACATTAGAGCACTTTTTATCCTTGTAATCCAAGCATTAGATTATCCCATTACAAGTAACTTGCCAATATCAACATATGCAACACGGCAAAGCTGTAGTATTTAAACCTACAAAGGTCACTGCTTTCAGAACTTACCTTAGCATTGCATTTCTCTTGCTGCCAGCTTTATCTATTGTGAATCAATCAGCACTCCATGACCATCATGACCATGACCAAAATTCTCAACCTGTAAAAATTAAATAGGTAACTAGTTATCCCTCTTAAGGAAATTCTTCAAAACTTGCCTATAACTGCCCCCTTTTCCAGAAAGAAAAGGCAAGTTCAGACTTGCAGCTTAACGTATTTCATGTTCTACTATTTCTCTTAAGTGGTGGAAGCTTCACTGGCTTGGGATGGACTGGAATGGCTTAAATGGTTAAGTTGCATGGCTTATGGATCCCCATTCTGTTCCAATGGTGCACTGCCATGTTAAATCCATAAGTTGAACGGACAAAACTTATTTGAAGGAATAAGTGCAGTGTAAGGATTTTTAGTTGGAGGTCTTCAAGTTTACTATATTCAAGAGCATCTTTTTCAACTTCATGGCTGGACCTGGGTCATGCTGCCTCAGGTTTTGCTTTTTAAAGACCACTTGCAATAGATTTTCTCCATACAGTGTAGTTTCACAGAACTAAAAACAAGTCAGGCATCCAACTAAATGTCAGGTTTGCAATGGCTTACAGGGGTAAAGAGAGGGGGACCCCAAACTTAAGCCATTTCCTACATTGACTAAAAGAATAATTTGAAAAATGTTAAAACATGAAGCATGTTTAAAGGTCTTCATCAAAAACAGATTTAAAAAAATACCCCCTCCCAAGCCCCAGATCGCTATTGGTAAACAACAGCTGTATTAAGGCCTTTAAGTGTCATACATGCTTTTAAAAAAAATCCAAGTGTTGAATTTGGAGGACTTCTAATATGCTATCGAACACTTTGTTTTCCAAAAGTTTTTTTTTTAATCTAGAAAGCATTTCCATTGCCATGAGGTACAGTATGTTTCACTGTACTATGAGGAAGGTAAGTGTTCAATTTCGACTTAGACGGAAAAACTAGTTTGCTTTGCTTACCATCTTTGCTGTTTCACAGGCATTTGATGCTTTAAATCTGATGTGGAATGCTGATAGATTCACTTTTTAGAAGTCATAAGCCTTTGAGAAGTTGGAGATAACTTCATTGCTTATCTATTTTCTCCTTTGCAATCAAGCTGTTCCTTAAAAGTGAGACACTACAGAGTTGCAAAAATTTGAAACAGTAAGAGCAAGCATCGTTTGCAGCTTCATGGTTGGTTTTGGCCAAACTTTTTATTTAGTATTCTGTAGTTGCTTAACACACACTTAAATGGTCTTATTGGGGAGGGGGAAAGGGGAGGTTCTTGTAGATTCCCAAGGAAATGTCAGAAAAGCAAAATATGGCCAGCACTATCCATTTGCTTTTTTGGGTTTACTGGGCGAATAGCATTTTCCTTACAATATAAGCATCTGATCTCAGGTTTTTCATACTGAGAACATTGAGATTTCAGTTTGAAGACACTCTGAAATCCTAAGAGTAGCATACCCCGAACCACCCTCTAATAGCTAGCTTGTTTGTATAGGCAGGAGGAGTCATCTCTCCATTTTAGATGAATAGATATTTTGTGAAAGATCTTAGAATTGCTTGCCTCATCATTTACTGGGGAAAAATTCATAGAAAGTGGCCTTTAGGGACACTTTTACTTGGAAAATTACAATACTAGTACACATGTCAAGTCTTAACACACTTAACATTTGCTCGTTGAAAGCAATTTCATAAAATCAAAGATTAAACATGTTTTACTCTTTTTCCTCACAAGAACATAAAAATTATGGAAGGGGAACTTAACAGGAAATTTAAAAAAGGTAACACAATCTTTCCTTTTAGTAGTCCTTGGGTAGTTATGATAGAATAGGTTCCACTTTTGTTTGTTTCTTTGAACAGGGATTTTGGTCCAAAGTTTTGTTTGTTTTTAATATCTGCTTCTGCCTCCCCCTCTATCAGATCGGCTTCCTCCACGGCCACCACCTCTTGGTGCTCCGCGGCTTGAACTGCTGTAGGAATCTCGTGGAGGAGGGTACCCCCTTTCCATAGAAGGGGGAAGCCCTCTTTCTTGTCTGCCAACCCGATCACGACCACTTGAGTAGAGATCACTTCGGCTGCTTGAGTAACTGTCTCGACTTCCACCATATCCGTCACGTGAGCTGCTGTAATCATCATAGCGACTGCTTCCACCATAAGATGGCGGGGGCCCTCGTGTAGGTGGAGCACTACGTGAGTTACCTGCAGGGTCAATGGTCAGGTAATATGGCAACACTATAAATTGTATATATACAACATTTAAATCTGAATTTACAGAATTCTTGTATTAAACGTTTACTTTCTCAACTGGGAGGTTTTAAACTCTGCCATTGCTGGCCATTAACAGGGATTTGCTCATCTGCTGAGATACGGAAATGGATGGGTTTTAATGTTTGTTTGAAAAGACTGAAGACGGTGTATTTCAAGAGGATATTCCAGACAGCTTGTTATTTTATAGTAGACACTCAGCCACTTTCCAGTGATAAGTTGCAATTTTGAACTGTAGACTTTCCTTCATATTGCAATGGTAAACATTTGATCTTGTTAATAAAATTTTTAATTGTATTTTCACTGTTGGGGGAAAACACATAAGGCTGCCAATTTAAGCAAGCAAAATCCCCTCCAAAGCAAGCCAACAGCCTCAAAAAAAAACTTAGAAAAAACAAAAGCCCCTCACAAGACTAGGAAAAGCCCAGCTGATTAAGTTACCCCCTTAAAAGCAAGCAAACATCCCTTTAAAAGCAAGCACCACAACAGCCTAATAAACTGGCTCATGAACCTAAAAACTCAGGCTGGTGATATTCAAAGACCCTCAACCAAAATCTTACCATAACTCTCATATGAATCTCTGTAGGAACCTCCACTTGGATGATCTGAATAGTCACGATCACGACCATAGCCATCTCTATCACTAAATTAAAGAAAAAAAACGTATTACAAGCCCCAGAACATCAATTTTTACAGCAAAAAAATTTCTTTTACATCAAGCCATGACAGCAACAGCAAAGTCACTTACCTATAGCCTCTGGATGGATAGTCATCACGTGAACTGGAATGACCATAATCACGGTAAGTATAATCTCTTGGTGGTGGTGCATAATCTCTTGTATCACGAGAACTTGGGTAATCTCTGCTTGAATAGCTAAAGAAACAAAAGTAACTTGGTTCATATTTTTGATGAGCTCTCCCCTTCAACCTTAAGTATTAATATTAGAGACAAAAACTACTATGCTTTTCTGTTACCTGTCTTTAGTAGAATATCCATCATCTCTTGGGGACAAATAAACATCTCTACGAGAGGGCAGGGGTTCCCTTCGAGGTGGACCTCCATAACTATCTCTTCCACGTGATACAGGAGCTTAAGGAAAAATGTCCATTTTAAAAACATACCCAGTGAAAAGTCAAAACGTGAATTTATATTCAGGCAATGAAAAGTAGTGATTCAACCAAATATGACAATATGGATGCAAATGAGGAAATCCTCTTTAAAATTTCTTACGTATACCAATCTTTTCAATGATCTAGGTACAGTTTTAAGCATCATTTTTAGGATTCGCCTCTCAATCCTTCCTTGTGTTATGGTGGTAGGACAGACTGTCATAAATGGACCATTTACCTCTTCCTCCCATTCCACTGCTGCTGCGAACTGGTCCTGAAGGGGCAGATCTTTTAGGAGGAGGACCCCCACTTCGTGGTGGTGGTCCTCTTTTTACTGGAAGTGGTCCCCTGGAAGAACTCATGTTAAAATTCATGGAATAACCACCGTCGTCTACATTAGAACAACAACAACAAAAAGAAAATCATGTTAATATAAGTACTAAGAAAAATCTATAGTTTTCTTTGCTTAATCAAGAGTATGACCATTTCTGTTTAGTCGGGGAATCTTGAGTTCTCACTCTTATGTGACTGAGCATGAGAACTGTACAGTGTATATAGAGTATACACAGAAAACTACATACAAGGAACTATACAAAGTGTATATAGTTCCCTATACGGTAGTCATCTATTTAAGTCTGCATAGATTAGCAAAGTAGACACGAAGGGTTCTCCTGAGGGTTCTTTTCAAGTTACTTCAAAAAAATATATACACTGTTTCATTTTCATATGACCAACACCTAATACCTATCAAAATTTTTCTGCAAGTGTTTTTTCCTACAGAATGAATTCACCTGGATAAGGAATAGCTAATTGTTAATTATTTCAAGACACTGTAATTTAACTTAGGATAGCTTCTATGTTTTCCTTAAGTCAATCACTTTGGTAGATGAACAAGTGTTCTCAATTTCAAAAGCTAGGGCCTTTAAAATACTTATTAACCAAAGCACACAATGGTGTGTTTACAGTTCCTAACTTATACACCAAGCCTAAAGTAAACCTAAGTCATTACCCATGTGCCCTCCACGTGAGGGAGGTCCCCTGGTTCCTCCACTTCCTCCTCTTCCGCCTCTAAGGCCTCTTGGAGGGCCTCTGCTTCTTGGAGGTGGAGGTGGTCCACGTCTACCACTTTCAAATGATGGTTTAGTGGCTTGTTCTACCTTGATGGCTTTTCCATCTAAGGACTAAATAATATCAGTGGTTAATTATGTAAACTTAAAAAAAGAACTTGCAGATCCACTATGCACTGCGACACTAGTATGTCCTTCAAAATGCTGTACCTTTCTGTTTAGCACTTAAATACCTAGTCTTTTAAGATAACTGCTTATTTGAACTAAAACCTAAGGTGGATCCACTGTACTGCTAGGTCGGTAAAGTTTAAAAACAATGCCAGACAATGACCAACTTATTAAGACAAATAACCAAAAACAAAAGCCAAGGATCCCAGATGAAGTATAATACCGAATATTCTAAAACTGAAAGATTCTTGTCAAGAATACACTTTACAAAATTTCGTTCTAAAATTACAAAGGGCTAGGATAAGAGGGTCCTGGAAAAGTATACACTCAGTAAAATTCAAGAGCTGCCCTAGACCAGACTTGAGTAACATTGTGCTATTTTACGTACTAGGAAACATGGTATTGTGCAGTCTCACCTTTCCATTCATGTCTCTCGCTGCATCCTTAGCATCTGCTGGGCTTTCGAAGGTGACAAAAGCAAATCCTCTAGATTTGTTGGTTTCACGATCTTTCATCAAGAGAACTAAAGTAGTTTTCAGGGGGAAAAGGAGTGTTACTCTATTTCAAACGGAAAAACAAAAGTAAATCTGTAAAAAGAAAGCTCAGAACTTCTTAGAGGACAAAGCACATTATCATTTCATATGATCAATGCAATCAAATTCATCACAGCTTACCTTTTTTTAAAATTACAATAACCCTGCATATACTTTCAGAAAACTCACCTTCCACTATTCGTCCATATTTGCCAAATACTGCTTCAAGAGCTTTCTCATTTGTTTCTGTATTGAGGCCACCGATGAAGAGCTTTCCTGGGCGATCTGCTTCAACCATTTTTTCCCTCTGGTGAAAGTCTGTTGGAAAAAAAGTGTTAACCCTCCCTGGAAAAGTTTACTCAACATGTGTACCGGGGCTCATTTTTCTTGTTTACTAAAATCATTCCTTAATAGCATAATACACAGAAAACAATTTTTTCTAAGCCTTACCAGGAAACCAATTTAACTAGTTCAGTGATAACTGTTTACATTAAAATGGTTAAAAAAGCCAACTTAAGGGAATTTCCTGACGTCCAGTGGTTAGGACTCTACGCTCTCACTGCCGAGGGCCCAGGTTCGATCCCTCGTCAGGGAACTAAAATCCCACAAGTTGCGCGGCACGGCCAAAAAACAAAAGCCTACTTAACTAATGCCTTTATCCTTAATCCACTTTGGCAGTCTTAACCAAGTAACTACAACATTTCAAAAAGTGAATTTTAGCTTTAACACTAGATTTGTTGCCTTTTAAAAATTCAATGATCACATCCCAATTACCCTAATGATTTTTTTAAACTGACTCAGTCAAGGTCACAGGCCAAACGTAGGTCCGTAAGACCAAGCCCTCTCCCGAGAACTTTGCCTTTCATTGGGATTCCCTAGTAAATCTAAGGACCAATTTAAAGTTTTAATCAAGTTATGACCCCTTCTTCACCAGCCCCTGCCCTGCTCGCTACGTTGTTTACTTTTTTAAAAAGTGTCAATATCATCGGATACAAAGTAACGGAACGTGGAAGCGCGCACTGTAACACTAAGCACTCCATGACTGCAGCGGAACCCAATTAAAACCCGTCATTAAAAACCGCGTGGAAAACACAAAATGGCGACACTTGGATTCAGCCCAGAACAACCGCCGCCGGTCAGGGGAGTAACTTTTCCCACCAGCGGAGGCTGAGAAAACTCAAATGGCTTCCGCTCCAAGGCTGCCAATGAACAAGGACCCCGCGCAAAAGTGCAAGCGCCCGCCCGGAGCGCCACCGCCATCCCAATGCAGGTAGCGACCACGGAGGCGCGGTCCCTCCTCGTCCCGCTCAGGCCCCGACCTCCGCCACCTCCCGCCCCCAGAGGCGACAGCCAAACTTTCTGCAGAGGTACACTACGAAGTGGCACCCCAGCGTCTGCTCTCCTTCGACACTCCCAGGTTTCCCTAAATAGGTCGGCACCTCTGGGTTCTTAAAATGGCGCCCGCCACCCCCATCTCCAAGGAGGTAATCCCAAGTTCTAACGTGGCAAGAGTGAACGAAAAACAGACTGTAAAGGAGAGGACTCACGTACCGGAGGGGTGGCAACTGTTTCAAGCTCCTACGAGCTCGCCGATCGCGGCTTCCTAGCAGCTCAGCACGCGGGAGGGTGGTCGATCCCGAGAAAGGAAGCGAGAAGCCACTCGCACTACTGCGCAACGAGGGCGAACAAAGGAGACAGCAAACTTTATACTGCCCGGGAACGAGGCTCAAGGACCCGGATGCAGGCGGAGCTTAGAATTTAAAATGCGAACGGGTGGGGAGCGGTTCCCAGCTTCCCCATTAGCTGCCTCCGCTGTTATTCACTCTTCGCTCCTCCCCTTTTCCTGGGCCCTCAGCTCTCCAGCTGGCCCCGATTTCTAACCGTTTTCCCAACCCCCACCGGTGCTCCCCAAACCCGCGTTTTTGCTTTCCGCTAAAATGGTTCAACGGGCTTCATGTAAAAAAGAACTGAAATTTTTTGCGTGTTCTGGTGGGCCAGGCATGGTGCTAAACTTTACACCCATTAACTCTAATTCTCAAAACAACGTTGATGAGGATAGAATTATGCCAGTTTTGCAGAAATGAAAAACAAAGAAGCTTAGAATTATTGTATTAAAAATACATTTTCCCCAAATATCTTTAACAAGAATTTTTAGTGAATGGGGAAAATTCTGATAAATAAGTGTGAGGTGGGGGAAAAGAACTGTACTAAAGAGACAGATTATCCGTTTACATAGAACAATTACTGAGCATCTACTAAATGGCGGGCAGGCTCTGGGCTTGGCCGTGAGGGTACAACCCAGCAAAGCGAGACAAGGGCAACGCGCCTCATTGGTAAGGCTGCCAGATTTAGCAAATGAAATACAGGATGCCCAGTCAAGTTTGAATTCCAGATAACAAATACTTTTTTTTCAATATAAGTAGATCTCAATATCATATAAAGTAAACTTATTCACTGTTTATCTGAAATTCAAATGTAACTGTGTTTGTTTGTTTGTTTTCCGGTACGCGGGCCTCTCACTGTTATGGCCTCTCCCGTTGCGGAGCACATGCTCAGCGGCCATGGCTCAAGGGCCCAGCCGCTCCGCGGCATGTGGGATCTTCCCGGACCGGGGCACGAACCCGTGTTTCCTGCATCGGCAGGCGGACTCTCAACCCTGCGCCACCAGGGGAGCCCGTAACTGTGTTTTTTATCTGCCAATCCTACTCGTGGAGGGGATTACAAAAATTTTTTATTTTCTAATTTCTTTACAAACTAAGGAGAACATTTAAATACAATTAACAAATAAAACAATTGCATCTTGTGATTAGTGCCAGGGAAGAAGTAAACTCAGGGCTTTGATGGACAACATTTGGGAGACCAAATTCGATTTAGCCCTCAGGGAAGGTGTATCTGAAGAGGTGGCTTTGGAGATCAGCTCTGAAGGAAGAAAAGAAATCCGCCTCGGGAAAGCTGGGGTGGGGGTGGGAGATCCGAAGCTTTTCAGAGAAACAAGCGCAAAGTGGAGGGAAAGAGGTTGCATGTATCAAGGGACAGAAAGGGATCCAGGGCGACCGGAATTTAAGGGGCATAAAATGAGGGAGCCAAGGTAGGCAGAACATTCGAACCCATTAAAAGATTGCAGGGGCCTTCCCTGGTGGCGCAGTGCTTGAGAGTCCGCCTGCCGATGCAGGAGACACGGGTTTGTGCCCCGGTCCGGGAAGATCCCACTTGCTGCGGAGCGGCTTAGGCTGCTGAGCCATGGCCGCTGAGCCTGCGTGTCCGGAGCCTGTGCTCCGCAACGGGAGAGGGCACAAGAGTGAGAGGCCCGCGTACCGCAAAAAAAAAAAAGATTGCAGGGGTAAGTGTGGAAGCAGGGACACCACTGGGGCTGTGTGAACAGACCAGGAGAGAGAAGACAGTGCCTTGAATTAGGGTTCAGCAGTGGATCTGGGGAGGAAGGAACAATTGCTAGGTGTATATGGCAGGTAGCATGGACAGGATTTGCTAATGAATCAGATGGGAGAGCACTGGGGTTGAATTCAAACAACAGGGTAAGTCATTATGGATGACTATCTGGTATTAATAGGTGGTGGCCATTTATCAAAATGGCTGCAAAGGAGCAAGTTTGGGAATGTGGGCGAGGGTGAAGAAATCTGATGCTCAGACCAGAGATCAGGGCTAAATCTGTCGCTTTAGAAATAGTAATGAAACTCATCAGAGTTAATGGGACCACCAAAGAAGAGAACACAATGGGGAAAAGAAAAGAAGTCTGTATTAATTACTAAAAAATACATGTGGAGAGGAAAACACTAGAAGGAAATATGCTAAAATGTTACCAGTTTATCTTGGGGGAGGGGTAGAATTTATGGACAATTGTCACTTCTTCTTCACAGTTACAGTTAACTCTGCCGTGGTGAATTACGGTATATGCCAGGCAGGTGGTAGGAAATGATGCTCAGGTCGTGGGTAAAAGCTCCAAGGAGCTTTGGAACCAGCTTTGAATTATGAACATTAATGGAGGGAATAGTACTCAGTTCAATAAGAATATTTGTCCTTTTTTCTTTTCCCAGCCAAATAATAACAAGTAAGGCAAAAGTCACGTCCACTTGCCTTCAGAATGAGTTATGTAAATTATTGAGTAGCGATAGTTGGGGATTGGCCAGGTTGGCAAAAAGCACTTAAATGCTCGCCTCAGCAAAGGGAGTCTGCACCCCCAGGCAGAACTAGGAGAAATCCCTCCCCCTGGGCCAGCAGGTGCTCTTTCTCTGTCTCAGATCCAGGCAAAAGGACTAGAGGGCCTCTGCCGGACTAGGGGAGAACGGGGCTGATTTCTACCATAGATGTCCCTGTCCCCCTGGGTCTCGAGAAGGAAATGTGCCTCCCAGTGGAACAGATTACTCTGGTCTTTGCAGTTCGTGCTCAGGAATGTGGGAGGTGGGGAGTGGAGTGCTCTAGACTAGGGGGCCAGCACTTCCAATGACCAGAAGAGAAAGGGAGGGGGTGGGGAATGGCTAGTTGAGGAATCTGTAGGAGAGCATCATTATGGCTGTAGCTTAGAATCTAGAGGTGAGACACAGAGGACAAAGCAAGTACCTGGAGAGGGAGGCAGAGGGCCTACTGACCGGATCAGAGGGCACTGGAGAGGGGAGACTTTTTAAGAGGTAAAGCAAGATAATCAGATTTCATCTTAAAGAGATCACGGTGGCTGCAATCCAGAGACTGTACAGGGGAAGGGAGGGGCAGGAAGCAGGGTGTTGCTGATGTAGTCCCAAGAGAGAGGGGATGTGGGCAAGCTAAGTGTGAGCAGCTCTGGCCAACAGGCAGTCGGGTAAGCAGACTGCCCAAAACTAATCTCTGAATCCCATCCTTCCCCTTCATGGATCTTCTAGATTTTTCCCTTTACTTCTTTCTTTCTATTTACTCCTTTGGATTATCATTAAGTATAGTTATAATTTTCTTTTTACTCTAATTTTTCCTTTGCCTCATTGTTGCTCTCCAGATGCCATCTCAATGATTGACCAATGGTCTGAGTCCAGTGATCTTACTTCTCCACTAGGTATCCTTGGAATATAATCAGTGCTAAATAAATGTCGGCTGAATGAATTACAAGCTCTTTTTATCCTCCATGTTACTTAGTATGAGATGGGTGCATAGTAAGTGTAAGGCCAACTGGCCCGAGGCAGGGGAACACAATCAGATTCACAGGTTGCATCAGACCGAAACTCTCCGGACCACCCAGTTCCAGAATCTGACCTGGGGACTTTGCACCTGGCTCAGCCTTCCTGCCTTTCGAGGGGCGGGACTAACGGTCCCCCAGGATACCCGAAAAGACCACCAAATAAGGAATACCCTGCGCCCTCCCAGATTCACCACACCCCTTTCCCTTCTTCCCCTATAAAATCTTGCCCAACCCTCGCCCGGGGGCGACTTCTCTGGCCTCTTTCTCTCGGGCCAGTGAACCTCGCCCGGGAGCGCTCCCTAATAAAGCTCACTTGAAGCTTTCCTCTGTTTCGCGGTGCCGTTTGTTAAGATCCGATCTTACATTTGGTGCCGAAACCCGGGAGGGGTACCAAGCCCCGCGGGTTACCGCGCGGGCCGCTCCTCCCCTCCCCCAGGAGACAACCAGGGAACCTCTACTCATCCACCCGATCCGGCAGAAAACGGGGTAAGTCCCCCTCCCTTGTTCCCTCCGACCCTCACAGTCCCTGCCCACCGGACTCCCTGTCCTTAATCGCGGACGCGTCAGGGATTCCTCCGTCCTCTCTCTGGGCCTCGGGCAACTGTGGAGACGTCCCAATCGCCTGACCGCCCTCCGACCTACCGTGAATTGGAGACTGAGACCAGGGACGCCTTTCTCCCTCTCCATTCACTCAGGGACAGACTGGGAGTCATGGGAACCTCACAATCGAATCCAGATCCTAAGACGCCCCTGGGGTGTCTCCTAGCCAATTTTACAGCCCTCGGCTTCTCCCAAGATCTCCGTTGCCGACGGCTTATTTTCTATTTCACTGTGGCCTGGCCACAATATCCTCTAGACAATCAATCCTGAAGGGACTTTCGATTTTAATATCCTCCGTGATCTAGATAATTACTGCCGCAGGACGGCAAATGGTCCGAGGTCCCATAAGTTCAGGCCTTCTGGTATTTGTGCTCCCGCCCCTCCCTTTGCGTCAATTGTTCTACCTCAAATCCTCCTTGCCAAACATCTCCTCCATCCAAAACCTCAATCCCCTTGGATTCCTCCCCACTAACCGACCCTCCCGAATCTCTCGCCTCTCCCCCCTCCAGAACTCCTCCAACCTCCACCCTACCCTGAAGCGGTCCCTCCTCCTCCAGAACCCGCTCCGGCCCCTCCAACCGCTCCCCGCCTCCCTCAACGGATTCTCCTCCCACGCCCCTTGCTTCGCCAATTAGTGCACATACACGCTCTCACGACTCCCAAGATTGAAATCTCCTGTGCCCTCTGAGGGAGGTAGCAGGAGCGGAAGGACTGGTCAGAGTCCATGTCCCTTTCTCTCTCCAGAACCTCTCTCAAATTGAAAAACGATTAGGCTCCTTCTCTGCCGACTCCTCCCACTATATCAAAGAATTTCGCTACCTATCTCAAGCTTACGATCTAACCTGGCACGATATCTTTGTGGTTCTGTCCTCTACCTTAACCCCTGACGAAAGGGAAAGAATTCAGACTGCTGCCCGAAACCACGCAGATCAGGT